CTTCGCCGGGGGGGTCCTGCTTGTGAACAACAGCGGCCGGGACGAGCTGGACACGGAGCGGGAGCTGGGCCGCCGGCTGGAGAACAAGGTGCTCCTGCTGTATTTTGGGTCCGGGGAGTGCCCGCGATGCCAGCAGTTCTCGCCGCTCCTCAGAGATTTCTTTGTGAGACTCACGGATGAATTTTATGTGGAAAGGGCTTCGCAGCTGGTCCTGGTGTACGTGTCTCAGGATGAGACGGAGGAAAAGCAAACCAAGTTCCTGAAGACCATGCCAAAGAGATGGCTGTCCTTGCCTTTCAAGGATGAGTTCAAAAGGTAAGCACTGAATAAAGCGACAAGACAGAATTTATCAGCTTCTAAGTTTCCTTCAGGTAACTCTGTGCTGTATTTTCAAACATTCATACAGTCTTCCAAAATCCCCACGTTCAGTCCTCACAGGACTGGTCAGCACGGCCCATTCATACATTTAATTGACAGCTTGAAGCAGGCGCCACAGTGTGCAAATACAGAGGAAAGTCCTCCGTGGTGGTGGTGGTTAAATCACTGCTGGGGAGTAGGAAGACACAGACCAGTGAGGAAGTTACAGCCTTGGTGGTTCTGTTTGGCTGGAGGAAAACAAACAAACTGCTAAAGCTGTTTCGTTTAACACCTTTATAAAGGACTTAAGAGGAAACATTTTTTACTCTACTTCTGTTTCACTCTTTTGCAGATCAAATATGTTTGTATTCTTATTTTATAACACACAATTTATTTCTAAATCTTAAAAGACTCCTGCCAATAAATCATCCCTCTAGGCTGAATATATAAAGCGAAAGATTTCACAAGTAACTGAAGTGGACCTTCAGCCAAAAGGGAAACAGGCACCTATCTAATGTAACCTCCCTAGTGGCAGAAAGAATTGTAATTAAATAGTAAAGGTTGAGAATACTTTCGGCTCCTTTTGATGATAAATTGGAGCATGTCAAAAATTCAAGCTTCCTACTAACTGTTGAAGTCTTGCATTGCTTGCATAAAACAAGTCAAAGCACCCTTCCCCTTGTTCTGGCACCACAGGGTAAGTGCTCTGCATAAGGCTCTGGTCTGCATAATTATCAGATCTTGGACAAGTGAGCAGGGTTTGTGAACTACTTCCCAAGACCGCTTTTTGCCCGAGGCAGATATGTATACTACAACTAGCAGCATATCATCATGCAGCCCTGTCTACAACAAAACCTGTAAACTCTCCCACGGTATAAACCCGGCAGCATGTAGACAGTAGCCGCAGCAGCTATCCTTTTCTCAGCAGTAGGAGTTTAAACGAATGGCAAGGAACTTCCAGCACTGTCTGAGGATCACTGCTCTTCTTGCTTCGTGGTTTCTTTTCCCCTTGCCTTCCAGAGAGCTGGAGCTGAGGTTTGCGGTGTCTGATGTACCTACAGTGGTGGTGCTGAAGCCGAACGGGGAGGTGATTGTTGGAAATGCTGTGGAAGAGATTAGGCGCCTGGGTCCTGCCTGCTTCAGGAACTGGCAGGAGGCTGCTGAGCTAGTAGATAGAAACTTTCTCTTGGCAGAGGACTTTGATGACCTGGCTAGAAGAAGCATCACTGACCCCATCCGCCGCCTCAAATACAAACTGGACAAGAAGACAAAGAATGAAGAAAAGAAAGAGGAAGGTGAAGAGTCTTGTTAGGGGCTCATGAGGTTGCAGCTGCTATGCTGACTTGGCTTGGGACTTCTCTCAGATGACTGACTCAGCCTGGCTGCGTGCAGTCTCAAGAACACAAGTCCATTTTTCTAATTTTTCGAATCCCTAAGATTTACTGTGATCGTGGTGATAGTTGCAGAAACCTTAGCATAAGTCAGCATATGAGTGGGGAGATGAGAGAGACAGCTGGGCTTTGCAGATGTGTCCGGTAAAATCTATCTGTATTTTAAAAGCCTGCCAGTTTTCTGAAAGGAAAATTGTTCTGAGACAAATGCATTCTACTTCCACACACAGTTTTTGGTATCTAGAAAATTGGTTGGCATATTAAGGACATTCTGAGCCCGGCCAAATCACATTTCACTTTTATGACTCCAGGAACCTTACGTTTACTGCAGTAAAAATCTCACAGTAAAGTCTTCCTCGTTCATTTACTAAAAACATTAGACGAAAAGGGGCTACTAGAGAGCAGCATTCAGTGAATGAGTCAGTAAAGACAAATTTAAAAAAGGAATCTGCAGTAAAAAAAAAAAAACAGCATGTCCGTGGGCTGCTGTGAAGACACTGAGAAGCTATAGCAAACAACAGTGAGAACAGAATCCCTACGATAAGCCAGTGTATTCTTCTCTGGAGACAGAAAGATACCCATGGGCTAAGTGAGTAAGTCCTGAGAAATCTCTTATGTTGCTGCTAATATACTGCTGAAACTGCCGAGTTTGCATTCCAGCCAGGTTCGTCTGAGAGCTAATGAACAAGTTGTTTCATGACCAGCAATACAACATTCAGCAGCTGCCCCAGTGACCTGCCTCTGCCTGTGCAAACCTCTTCCTTTTCTCTGCTAATCGTGGTTGCCATCTGCTGCTGGAAAGTATCAAGTGCTGAGCGCAGTAGCAGGGAACCAGAGTCCCTTTTCAGACAGGAGCTCCAGCCTTGTTAGGAAGCATTCAGCTAGGCACAACAACCTCAAGAAAGCTTCCTTCAAGGAATCCTTCCTTTGCTCCGCTGAAGAAATTCCTGCGCATACATATTCATAACTGTACGGCTGGCAGGCCTGAGTCAGGTCAAAGACCTGTCTGCCCTAACCCGCCCTGGCAGACCCTGGGTGGGTAAGGAAAACTGTAAGGCCAGGGCACATCTCGAGTGAGCAGTTCTCTGTTTCACCCTTCCAGTTTAAACAGATTTGTACGAAGCCGACTCTCTGAACAACTACGATGATAGTTTTACACCTTTGGGAGCGTACAAAAACTTGGTTACAGGGTCTTGCAGAGAATCCAGCTGCACACATCCTCCAGTGTGAAATTTTTTATGTGGCCAGAACATGGAACTAGATTAGATATTGCTTGAGCTCTAATAGTGGCTCCATGATATATTTATTTTTTCAGATGTGCTACTTTACAGTTGTTCTGTGTAATTCTTGCTTTACTTATGTCTTATTTCACAAATAATACTTCCTAGAAAAGGCCTTGCTATACCACTGTACAAGTAAACTACTAACATGTACCAGATCATGAATACGCTTCACAAGTTTCAGAAAGTGAAGAGTTAAGGAAAGTCAGGTAGGAGGATCAGTCTGATTCTATAGATGGCAGAGATAGTCTGGGAAGTGAGTAATTTCATAACTCCCAAGAGGAATGTGGAAGATCCGCATAGCCTGACGCCAGTCTGAGGTTTCAGACTCATCCCACACAGACTACATGTAGCACTCCTTCCCACCACAACGTCCTCCAAAGGGACTGACACAGGGGCAGCACAGAAGACTTCAGAGACCAGCTGCGATCGCTGGGAGCGAATGCTCCACAAGGATGCAGGTAGAGACAACAACTTGATTTTCTGGTTGCCTCAGCAAACACCAAGATGCCGCAGTACTTGGGATAAGCAGCCAACAGATTTCTCACAACTGGTCATGTCTTTTTCCTTATCTGGGTCTTAGCTGAGGAAGGACAATGAAAGAGAAGGAAAATATTCTCTACGACTCGCCTAAACCAATGCTTGCACTTGTAGGCAATGTTATGCTAAATAAGAGAGACCGATACAGAAACACAGTGCTGTTGCATATGGATATTCAGGGCTTACTTTGATACCAAATCTTGCTGAGAAAAAGTTTCCTAAACTTGGGTTTCCATTTGCTGAAATGAGTGCAAGGAAATTTGATGATTAAAACTTGCTTTGTTGGTTTCTCAGAAGGCACTGGTTACAGCTCTACTGAGTTAGAAAAAGAAGAAATATTGCAAACAAAATGTGAGAATTCATTCCATACCTTCCAATTTTTTCCAAATATTTTGTATTGCATCTCCAGACTTTTTGTAGAATGCTTCTTTTCTTTATTTCAATGAGTGGAAGCTGTGCACAAGACCTGCAGGACTTTGGAACTGAGCACCCAAAATCCGAGCCTGACAAAAAAGTTCATCTGCTGGGTTCTGGGAAGAACAGTACTGCCTGGTAGTTGGTGCTACATCTCAGTCTGACCATGAATCAAGCAGAATCTCGGGATAATGCCAGGTGCACTCAGACTGCAAGCAGATTGCCAGGCAATAGACGCCTTACATCTGACCATGAACCAGACTCCAGATTCCCGACTGCTGTGCGGGCTTCAGTCCAGAGCCCTGCCCCTGGTGTTTGTGCCAGCCACATGGACCATTCTGCTAGTGAGGTACTCCACATCACTGAGCACCTGAGGAACATCGACAGGAAATTCCAGAACTTCCGTGAGCTCTTCGAAAAAGGTAAATTTTAAAAAATATATTTAGTGGCTTACAAAACAAGCAGACTATGGCCAATGTTTCCCAACTGTGAGCAAAAGCAAGCCTGGGTGTCATTTTCACTGCATTATATATTTAAAACAGTGAATCTAGATGGTCCTCAGACAATTTAGGATGGCTTCTCTCTGTGTAGATAGTTAATTATGCAAATGTCCTTTCCTGTAACAAATTGTACTGATAGATAAAATTTCATAGCACTTAGGCATCTAAGTGCAGAGGCTTCCTTCAAATGCGATGCAAAAACACGTGAGTGCTATTGACAGCACCTGCAATGAGTGAGTGACTTAAAACTAGCTCAGAGAAAGAGTATCTGTGATGACTGTTGAGAGAACTGAGATTCACCAGTGGGAGAGAATCCAAACATAAGACAAATGGAGGCTAAAGCCAAAAGCAGTCTAGGTGGTGGTGGCAGTCCAAGTATGTGTCACAACATAGAACGTGCCACAACAAAAGTACCATACCTTCTTGTCCCACACATTGACATGTTCTCCTCTCCCCTTCCTTTTCCCAAAATAGTCTCTGTACTTCCAGGATGCTCTCCAGGCTCCACAAAGAGGAGCCATGTAAATGTCTTTACTTGAAACCAAACTATAGGCTCAAATTGAGAATGAAGAAAACGGTTATCACGTAACAGATCCAGTGCTGCTCGAGAAACCTTGTACAGCACGGCAGCTTTTTACAAAAGATGCATTAACAAAGAATCCCCTCAACTACTTGTTGGAACAAGAAATTTCCTGAATGAGTGCCACCCTCTTTTCCAAGTTATCTGGAGTTTCCTGTGATCTGAGTTTCTCCACCCACAGCCGCAAGCTGTAGCTGTAGGTCACGGTAACTGTCTTCCCCAGGCATGCTGAACAGGTTGGGTTAGCAATGTTCTTCATAGCCAACTCATAACTCCAGTGATGCTCTTAGCTTCACAACTTGTTTGCGTTTAACAGAGAGTCCCCAAACAATGCCAGCCCTACATGTAAATTAGACTTGCTGGGGCCTGCTCAGCTCAGCCAGCTTCCTCTCCTTCACTGAATGTCCTGCGTTCACTGAACGCTCAGCTTGGGACCACATTTTTCTCTTAGAGGCTGGCCTGCAGCTGTCAAGTGACAAAAAGATATGCAGCACTCCCGCAGCAGGGAAGAGGGACTTTCATCACTTGGGCCAGGGAAGTGAAACCTGGACAAAGGGCAGCAGGGGCCCTCAGTGGGGTTCCTGGCTCTATTGACTAAAGGCTGGGCACTTTCCAGATCCATCCCACCACTGCGGGTGTGTTTTTTGCTTGTTTCCATCTTCAGGGTCTGTTATTTTCTGTTTTGCGTGGAACTTTTGTATGTAGGAACAGTGGGGTACCTGTGCTGCTGTACTGAAGTGGCTTCATCCTGGGAGAGGTGAGGATGAGAGTGTATGCATGCAAAAACCCATAATTTTTCCTTTCTTAATTTTAGGAGAAGTTATTTCAGGCCCCGTTGAAGCCAAACTGGCAGATTTATTGCAAGCTCTCTCTTCCTTCCGGAACACATATCCTGCTTTGACTGGGGATGCCATCCAGCCTGCTGTAGCAACCCTTATCACCAGTATCAATGGTAAATCCATAACCTGCGAGACAGACACAGGTATCCATGTGCAGGTAAAGCGCATGTTACTACAGAAGCTGAGCAGCAGGAGGTCAGTGATCATCAAGGTTTACTCATATTCAGATCTCATCTTTAGGGAAAATCGTGCCTTTAAAATGTATGAAAGCACGAGAAAAGTTTAGACACGAGACTCCTTCTACTTTGCTTGGGAGTTATCCTGGCACACTGCACATATCTGTGTTTTCCACCAATAAAGATGTGTTGCATTCAGATGGTTAAACCAAAAAAATGGAAATGCAAGGCTCTGAGGACCTGTTCTTGACTTTGGTCTGGCTATTGGAGTAAGTAGGTATGTGTCAGGACTTCTCTCAGCACTGAATTCCTATATAACCCTATACAAAAGGCTTTTACCTCCCAACATGTGTTTCTTGCTAGTGCACTGGGCGGAAGGGAGTTATACTGACCCACAGAACTGCTGTGATATTGCACTTACACAACCGTTGGAGGTCTGCAGGAGCTACGCTCTATTATAACTAAGAGGCACTGTTAGCTTAGCCTTTAGGAAGTAAGGGTAGTGTCCTATTCTACTATGGCTTTTTTGGGTTGGAACATTTGAAAAATGAATCCTTAAAGCTCTTTCTGTTCCTGTTCTGCACAGCAGTTACTTTCTTGGGAGCTCAGGTATACTTAAATCTAGTGGGTAACCCTCATCTGAAAACTACTCTCTGTCACCTCAAAAGAAAGGCACAGTGGTTTCTGGCCTTTGTTTTGGGGCTGAACTGAGCTTTGAGAGATTTCCCACAGACGCCTTGCCTGCCACAGCTGTTGAGGGGGCCTGAAGGAAATACCGAACGTCCCATCCTGAAATCCTGACATATGGGCTTCCCTCGAGCAGAGCTAGGACTGGTACAAGGGCTCCCAGGAACATCTGTGGCAGGGCATGCCGGGCTGCCTCGCTGCTTTCTGTTCCATGGTAAGTGCTGATCTAACTTCACCAGCAAGTGGAGAGACTGTTTATCTCAGGAGATTAAAAGACTGGGTAGTGTTATGCTGTATAAAACTCCTTGTTATCTTGGAAGTGGAAGATGGTCCATTTCTTAAGAATTCCCCTACTTCCCTTCTGTGAACCTTCTCGCTGCAAAAGAAAGTTTACGGTTTTACCATCTCTACTTTAAAAAAAAAGGGAAGAGGCAGAGACTCATTCAGGAAGAATGTCTAGAAGATGGGCTGATGAAACTAGGAATTGGAACCATGAGCCCTATTTTCTGGTAAATAGGGAGCCACACCCCTTGTTATGTTAGCACTTATTAGTTTTATGAGCTTTATTTTTTTTTTTTATTTTTTAAGAAAAGAGGGGGTTACTTTACCATGTTGCAACCCTTTTAGCTATAAATGCTTTTACACTACAAAAACACTTTTTATAGCACTTCCTGCTTGTAAATAAAGCACTTTACAAACTGGGTAATGATAATTATCTGTTGAACATAAGCAACTGAGACACAGGCTAGGGAAGATTTGATGGGAGAAACTCATCAAAACAGATGTTGATAGTCTACTGATGTCAGCAGCACTTCCCTGCAGTTACAGATCCTGATCGTCTGGCTCTCTTTCCCGAGTTAACTGTTAATTCCGTTGTCTGAACAGAACTTGTTGGAGTTCACACACACACACAACATTCACTTGAGCCTGAAACATTTGATGCTAAAACAGTAGCTCTATGACCATCTGATTTTTAAAATGAAACAAGTGTTTATGATAGAAAGATCAGCTAAATCTTAATTCTGATTTGTGCCAGTGAAGTGCCAGAGGCCCGACTGTCAGAAGTTTGACAGAAGAGCTAGTAGATTTGGCTGCCATGAAGTCTGTGATGCAACTGCAGTGAGAAATTTTGCAGAAGATATTTAGCAGCATTACTTAAGTCTCCAGCAGATGTTGAGGAAGGGGAAATGGTGGGTTTGGGGAGCCCAAAGCCACAAAAAAAATTACAGTGTGCCTGCAGCAGATCCCTTCAGGTCAGCTCTGTATGTTGCCACAGTAGGTATAGATCAGACTTTGTGCTCAGATCATAACACTGAGAGAAAGTAAGATCGCAAAACTGAGTCAGAAAACAGGACGAGGAGGAAGAAGAGGAGGGGGAGGAGGAGGAAGAGGAGGATGACTTAGAGGATGTCATGCTTTTGTGTCTCTAGTTCTGTATTTTAAACCACAGAAACTTGTGAACAACATTTAACCGCTGTGCTCTAACAATAACGTTTGTACTCAAGTCTGCATGATAGCCTTTGATACCTGCCCACAGATAGCTGCATGAGCAGAAATACTTGTGAAGCTGTGAGCTCCATCGTGGGTTCTGCTTGTATCATCACACAAAAGACAGTTCTGCTCACTTATTGAAGTGGACAAAAGACTGGTTCTAGGACAAAGACTCGGAGGGAGCTGGCAATGATTTCCAATGCTCCACACACCAAAAAAACTCAGCTATCGGAGGTTCTGCTCATATTGAGATGGAAATTAAAACTAAGGAGATTTAGTAGTGTGATTTTAACACACTTGAAGCAATCCTATATTTTTATGTTGCACAGAGAAAACGGATGTATTTTTTAATTCTTTATAATAGTGGGGAAAAAATAGCTTCACTGCTGAGCACAAGTTTGTTTATAACACTTAATTTTTGCCATACATTTCTCTTATTAATAATTGTGGAAAAAACAAGAACACTCCAAGTTCTGCTCGCTTCAGTCTATAACCTTTGAATAAATGTGTTTTCTATTTCCCATCTCACAGTTTCATCACTAAATCATTAACAGTGATCATTAACAGTGACTGAAGGCAAAATTAACAGATTTTAAAACCAGCAACACGAGCTACATGATTCCATACGGTAAATTCATAGTTTGTAACTTAGCTAGAGCACAACATCTAACGAGATGGACAGTTGTGACTTAAAGGCTTACATCACGATCCACAGTCTGAAGAATGCTCCCAAGCTGAAGAACTTCTTGATGCAAGCAGGAGATAGGTTTTTCTATAGCATATCAAAAACTTAGGGCTTTTTTTTTTTTTTTAATTTATAGAATAAACCCTCAAAACCTTACATTTGCATTTTGCCAAGCTAATTTCAAGAAAGGCTATGATCTTTGAGAAGGCTCCATTATACCCACACGCCAGTGAACAGAGTGGAGGGAGAGAAGTGCAGATAATGACCGCTTTGGGCCTATTTCTGCCTGCCAGCCCCAAACCCACTCCTCCTGGCCTGACATGAAGTATACTGCTCTGAGTAAGAGTAAGAGTCTGTTAAAAGAGTGGCCATGTTTTGTGGTAACTCTTCCCCTGTGGCAAATCAATTTGGATGAAATTCTGAACGACATAGTGGAGATCCCAGTAGTTCATGGGCATAAGCGTTGGTGCTGAACGGGCATCAAAACTACAGGGAGTTAGCTAGAGCCTGAGATGCTGATCCCTTCCCTTCTTCTGTCACCATTTTTAACCTAGCGGTCCTTTCCCCTCACCACTGACAGTTTCTCAGTAAATTGTTCCATGTATTTGGAAACACAGGTGTTTTCTTCAGGAAACAGTGAGTGCTACCTGGGTACAGCAATTGCAAAAGCGAGCACTCGGGCTGCTGTGATAGCTGCAAGCACTGAAGCTAAGAGTCTGAAACGGTCCCTTCTTTGTTAGTTACCAAGACAGAGCTGAGTTATGCAAATTGTATGATCAAATGAATACACAGTTTCCTTACACGGAAGTGTGTCTGCAGGAAGTAGATTGGCTACAGCAGCCACGCTCACTGACAGGCACTTCTGCCAAATATTTCAGACAGGTCTTCTTGGCGTGCAGCCATCATGGGCCACTGGATAATTTGCTAACATCTGATCTGACCAAGGATTTGTGTTTTACTTAACCCAGCTGTGATTCAAAGCTGGGTAATTTGGGATTCTGCTGCTTTCCGACCAAAACTCTGAGGATTCAGCCATGGGAGACCCAGAACCAAGTGGTATGTCATGGCATTTGAAACAACTTTATACTGTTTATAATGTAAGCTTTTTAGGCTCGATATGACATAAGATGCAGATCAGCTTGTAAGGCACCTAGCAAATATGGGCATGATACAGCTGTAAGTTCCTCTGAAGGGGTTTCCTATGAGCATCTTGGCCGTTCAGTTCACTGAATCTTTCTCTGGCAGATTAAGTTATCTGATGTATTTGTAATGGATTTTGACTTTTGTAAGAGGAAAGGATGCAAACCCCGCTTTTCAGGAGTCAGAGGTTGCATTGCTCTCTCTCAAGAGACTAGGAGTATATAATGCTGGTAGCGTACCTTTAGTTAAAGTCCCTTTGACAAAAATTTGCCATAAATCCTTGTTCTCAAAGGTGTCAACCTTAATTACGAATGTAATTTGCTCTCATGAAATACTTTATATGGCTTAAACCAGAGGGCAGCAGTAAATCTTCTGTGGCATTCAGGAGATCAGAGGAGGCTTCCCCTCTGCAGTGCAGTATTAAAACCAAATATTTTAGTCAGAGCACTTCATTGCTTTGGAGACTAAACTGTACCATTGGCGGGAGTAGCTGAAAGTGCTCTGTCCTGTAGTAACAACAGATGAGCTGAGTGACAGATGCCTAAAGATTCAGCAGTCAAACTACACGAGGCTACAGAAAGTCTTGCTCCCCCCTGCCCTTTCCATCTGTCCCTTCTCCCCAGCTGCTGCCACCAAGGTCCTTGCTAATCCAACTTGCAAATGTTTCTTTCCAAACATTTTTCAAATAATCAGTTTGAATCTGAGTAACACTTACCAACTGAGCATCTAAGAAAGAGTTCTCTGTACCACCTGGGGGCATGAATCCCTCTTGCCAGAGCCCCATGTTCAACAAGGGACAATCAAGGGTGCTTCAGAGAGAGGTGAAAAAATCTCACTGGATCTGTAATCAAGGAAACACAACAAGCAACATTAGCACTTTCCCAGCTGTCACATTCAAATGCATCATTATCCTTGTAGCTAGAAAACTTCAGCA